ACAGGAAAAAGTATGATTTTACACCTCAGATTATCTCAACATTGTTAATGGATTTCATTTTTGTATCTGTCGCTGTTATTCTGTTAGATTACCGTGCAAGATACAGAGAATCATCAGTTAAACGGTGGTTATAATTTTTTGTGATCAAAATAACTTGCGGAAGGAAAGTAATAATGCAAACTGCAGTATAAATGGTGAATAAAATCTTTATGTTAATAGAATTTCCACTGAAAATATGGCCACACTTTTAGAACGGTCATCTCATTTTGCACTGAGAGTTTGCTAAAGCAGTGAGAGTTGTAACATAATCATCCCAGACATACAGAAACACATTCTGAGCTATATCTCGGTTCTTCGAGTTTAATATTTAAAATGCAACTCGATCTATTACCACTGCTTCGGCGACTGAATCACAGACATCTTCCTTCATTTTCTGACAAATCTGGATTTAGTTACATCAAAACTGAAAGCAACATAAAAGTTTATTGCTAATTATTTTTCTGTTTTTAAACTGGTTGACATTTTATGCAATTATTGCTATTACTGAAGTCCTATGTTCTGCACTTGCTGCATTCCGACGATGCATTCTTGCGGGGTTAGACAGTTATGGTTGCTATTATCTATAAATAGAATAAGAGTTTCCCAGTGACAATGAATTTACCACATTAATTTTAGTTCTGCTTCTTAAAACGTGAGTCTTTCTTGTCTGGAATCAGTTAAATGCAGATTATAAACCGCATCGTATACAGATCGTATAGACGTTACTGTCCGTATTGTCTGTTTTTAAATATAACATCTTCTTTTGAAAACAGATTTATTAGGTTAATTAACGGTAACAAATCTCTGGTGCTAATTGCGCCAAACTTTATGTCTCAGATAGGCACTTTCTATTCATGTTATAAAAGAAAATCGAAAACGGCCATTCAGGTCAAAGTTCTAATAAACATGAAACAGGACAATTTCATTTAGCTGTCCCAGCGGGCATGGTAGTTAACCCAAACGACGGTTCCCATGCAATTAGGTCCGAGTAAGATACGGACGTTTGTGGCTATAGTAGCCATGTGGTAGGAGAGAAAGCTTAAAATCTGTTGAACTGAAAATCATCTCGAGGAGTTCATGTTAACTATAAAACTAAAACTGCATCTCGAAAGAGATCCCTTGGATCAAAACTGGTATGCAGCTGAACCTAAAGTTTTGTAGGTTTGGGCTAAATTAAATGACATAATCCAATACCGTCGCGCATTTATGTAAATTTCCAAAGCTTTAGCAGTTCGACAACCTATAGAAGGAATGTAATCAATTTTAATGCAATAATTTTCAGGGGCATCAGTATGGTACGGTTTTTATTTAATAGTATAAGATAATCAACTGGGTTAATTAACACATATGACGTAGACCGCACATTCTGACGAAGATCTTTTTGATTTTCTACTCCCTATTATTTTAATTTTATTGATTATTTTATTTGTGAAATCAACAAATATCGTTCTACACTTGCCCAAATTTTACAGTTTCAATAATACAGCCTTGCAAATAGTTAAATTCTGAACCGTAATGTTCCTCACATTTTAGACGCCATGTGAAAAATAAAGAAACATACTTTATTTAAATATATCCCGTTTTTGAGTAAAGCAAAGAAATGAGGAAGCTGCTTATCGAGAGTGTGTTAAACCACTGCACTGATATTAAAGTTTACCTTAGATGTATTAAATACAACTGGTTATGTTGCGAATGTATACGAAATCGAATATATTATTATAAAACAATATTTTACGCTTTTTTATTAATAAATGTAAAAGATACGTAAATATTTTTAAAATTTCAATATATTTCCATTGGGAATATAGTTTTGGCCACTTTATAAAACACAAGGGTTCAGTTTGATAGGCAACCATTTTAGTAATCAAGTAATTTTTTGATTGAACAACCTAAGACGGTTAATAAGCCTTAGATAATATCGAATCAGTAATAAGAATCTGGATAATTTCTCCTTAATTTGGTCAGATGTGTGTACGCTGTACTTTCCACTATTTCAATATAGGATTTATTATGTAACGCCAAGTGTAAACACAACCGAATTTGACTGCATCTTGCTTAAGGGACTAATTTGTGAACTTATCAAGAATGAGCATGTCTCAGAAATTTATCCTATTCATTTACTCTTTTCCCTTCAGTGGGGTTTTTATGATTAATTACAGTAATGCATTTTACCGCTTTTAGACAGTAATCCATTTTCCATTCACTTCTCACAAATTCTTAATTATGACATAATGGAAGAAGACATTTCCATTCGTATTTATGCAGTGCACATTCTTCTGTGCCACATCTTTATCACTTAGCGTATTTTGTCTGCTTTTATGCATTGTATAGCTTTCTAAAGAGCTGTATATATTTCGTTTATTCATTGATACTGTATTTTGTTTGTGTTATCTTATTTGTATGTTTTTCCGTTGCATCCTCTATTTTTGTTCCTTTTGTTGTCCAAGTTGGCTTTTATTCTAGAACTGTTGGTATTGATCCTACATCTGATAGCAAAATTGCATAACACTGTCACTCCTTTCTTTCCTGCTGTTCTGTCACCATGTGAATACCTGCCGGTTCTCCCTTAGAACGTCTTCCACGAAGGCATTACTGACCTTAAACTGATAGTTTTTGTAAGCTTTACCATCCTCCAAACAACCAAACAAACACTATTGTTACATCATATGGCACAGCTATGACTAGGTAACCAAAGTGATTAGATTACAGAGGCATTATAGTCTAAAAATGCCTTCCAAGGGTTATATTTAGGCGTACGTATAGACGTACCACTATAGGGAGGTGTAAAAACGCGCAAGGTTATCATTTACTTTGGGTGCCATAGCGAAAAACAAGACCCGGATGAAGATCGAACCTCAGACTTCCTCTGTACTCATAGCACAAATATTCTACCAGATGACAACCACCTATCTTTTCACGACCTGGGGTCTTGAAACTATGTAATTTAAATTGATTAATTTGACCCTTATAGACTAAATCCTACTTGAGTTGGGTTTTAATTTTATTTAATGACTGAAAAGATTTAAGTTTTAAGTTTATAATATGGTAACTGAATATATTACTTAGAAAAAAAAAAGAGAAATATTTGTAAATTTTTTTATTTAAAATTTTTATAATTTTTGTGGCAAACATGTTAATGATATATTATATTACGATTTAAAATTGCCTAACAGTATATTTTCCCCACTTCACTCTTGATGAATCTTTAATATCCTCACAACTCTTGCCGACTTTCTTTTAAAATAAAAATTTTACTCGAATTAGGATTGAAACGAATTCATTATCTGTAAACTATTCTCATAAATATTTACTAGAAAATGTACTAGAAAGTGTGCAAAAGGTTATTCTACGTTCGGAATATATCAAAGTATTTTATTTTTTATGCATTTTTCGTTTGAAAAAAATCACTTTGACGCATTCGCAGGTACTATCACTAGAAAAAAATCTGAGCTTTTGTATTTTTATTGATTGTCTGCATTCTAAAACAGCGGGAATTCCTAAAATACATTTACTATTTGCAAAGAATTGTGTGAACCTTTGATCTCTCGCATAAGCTGACGCAAAACTATAAGTGCACCTATTTTTCTGCATGCCACTGAAATACATGATATTCTAACATTTAAACTTTCATATTTTGTTAGAATTTTTAATATAACGGGCATCACCAGTTGGCAACTGAGACTTAAGAATCTCTATTTAATTATAACTCAAGTAAAACTTTCGAGTCAAAACCTGTAGAAGAAAATTGTCACTCTAGTTTCAGTGCCTTGCCGTAATACTGTGATTCTAATTACACACTGTTCAAAAGCTTTAATTGCGCCAAATTGACAAATAACTTTGTCTTTAATCTATTTGTAAACTACAGTATTAATGCAATGGAATACCTATACGAAACATTTATTTCATCTGATTGATACATATCAATAATTAGATTTGTTTTGCGCAAAGCGAGATATATCTTTTGAGCTATCACATAACACTGCTGTTCTACTGTTTACGTATCTATACACGGAATTAAATTATTACATTACTAAAGATGTGTTGTTGGTAAACTGCGTCAAAGGTTTTGAAATGTGACAGAGGTCTCTAGAATTTTTATTATATATTTTACATTTCTTAGAACGTCGCTTTCTGTCACATCAGTACTTGTCTGAATGAAAAGCATTTTCTGCTGCATTAGACTTATGACAGCTGCACTGCTGTTGAACATATATATGAGTATCCTACAACTATTGTCACTTTTCTCTAAATAATATATCATAATAGTCACTACATTATTTCTTCCTAGAGCTGTATTAAGCGTTGTATAATCATAGTAACACAGATATCATTTAAAGTATTTGGAAATACAGGAATTTGTAGAATGCAAGATATATATACAATGTTTTACAAACCTTTTTAGCAGAGTTGATTTGAAGACCAACTTGGAGAGCTGAAAAACCCAACTGACCGATTGACCGCATAAATTGCGGGAATATTATATTTAAAATTTACGACAGATATTCAGGCCCTGTCTGACCAGGAATGCTTCCGAATGCATTACGTGTACGAAAAATAAAAAAAAAATATTCATGACAGCCAACCAGATAAGCCGAGAGAACTAAAATATGAATACGAGTGTCCAGTGACACTAATGCTAGCAGTTAGAAATGAATTTACGCATTACACAGCACTGAAAATGGAATATTTTCTATTCTATATCCCCTAAAATGTATATGCCTAAATGAAGTAGATTTAATTTATTTAACTTTTCCCGCGAAGTTATTAAAATCATTTTTATTTCAAAATTAATAGGTAATGCGATCAAATATTAATTGCAGATAATCCCATTTATATACTTCCTGAAAATAAACCATTAAACTCATAAAAATATCAGCGCCAGGACAGATTAGTACACCTTTGATGAAAAGCGCTTTTTGAAAATGTTTACTACAATGGTTATCTTCTTTTTCTTCTCACAGAGAAAGGCAACCAGGAAACCCAGGGCAAGAAAAAACCTGGCATCGGGAAGTTCTTCCGACACCTGAGCAGCGCCAAAACATCCCCTAGGCATGGCCCGAAGTCTGGACTGTCCAAGAGTCTCTCCCAGGCCGAAAGAACAGAAATCGATGGTGAGTATTTTGCTGACTTTTGTCCAGGGATGTGTGAGTGTATGTGTGCGAGGGAGGCGAAAGATGTTTGCGAATTTTTCTTTTGCCTCACCACTTTCTACTGATCCAATTTTGGATCTGTAGTCAGATTCTTTTCCGATGGACTCTGAGAGGGGTTGGAGGAGTATGGGGGGAATGCAGAAATCCGTGTCCTACGTGACAGTCAAGCTCCGAATATGGTATGTCTTCATAAAGTATTACAGAGGTGCATCGGAGAGTTGTGGTGAGAGCTGAGAAAAATGATACAAAATCTCACATCGGTTCCCAGATATTTCTTATATTTTCAAGTTATTCTGAAATATTTCGTTGACTATTCCGCAAGATTTTAATGTAAGGCTGTCCTATACGAAGAATATATAAAATGAATACAAATAAAATATTGCATACGTACTAGTAATGCGATCTACTTAAAATTATAACTAATATTTAAATATAGAAAAAACTGAAAGTTTTATTTTAGTGTGCATTCACTTAAAAAGTATTTATGTTTTATTAATACGTCACCTCACATATTTCGAAAAATTAAAATATTTAAAATAAATTCAAAACATAAAACAAGATATTTATATTAAATATTATATTGTACACATTTTAGACATACTAAAAGTAAAGAACAAAACAATTTCATTTATATCATAACACCATAAGTATAATAATATTCGTAACTTCTCAATGATACGAAAGCATTTCTCTGTAAATATTGTTGAAGGTTCCAAATAAAATAATTCTTATTACGTATGCTACAAAAAATTCCATGCGAAGTGTGTGCAAAATAATCAAACAACTAAATAACTGGTAGTTATAAAACAGTCAAATTTAAATGTGTAAAAAATAATGATATATAGCTTAAAGTTTAATGCGCACGCAAATCTTTTAAAAAGCAAAATACAACTCAGAGACCTTTTCCTAAATTAGGTTAAAAAAATGCCCTTAGCTCCTGAAGTGCAGTTGACGCTATTCATTTAATATCACGTAATGCCTGAACTGAAGTGCCACTTTTGTATCAATCTTAACGAATAATTAATTATTTCAATGGTACATGCAAACTAACTTTATTTAAATTAAAAATCATTTAAATTTGCAGGAATATTATTAACTGTGGTTACAAATTAAATTCTATGAAATATTTGCAAGATTAAATCATTTGCATTTTTTGGAAAACGAATAGTTTTATGGACAAAAAACGTGTTATTCGAATATTTTGTATAAAAGATGCTATATTGTAAGCACAGAATTTATTATCATCATTTTAATTAACTCCTCTTTAGTTGAGACTGCGCTAAAAAATCAAGTACTGATTCAACAACTCTTATTCAGTTTTGTATGTGTATGTGTGTATACTCATTCAGATGAAAGATTAAAAATTCAGTTATTTCAAATTTGCAGACTTTTTCCCTTTCCTCTAATAATACTAATCAAAATAAGCATCAGCCGTATCAATGTATTTTTGCCAACGAGATATAAGTTTATTTATGCCCGCAGAATAAAACTCTGGAGTTCTGGACCCGATTAAGTTGTCAAAGACGTTTTTGATCTCGTCTTGGTTTCTGAAGCATTTCTTCTGTAGAATGTTATCCAGATGTTTAAATAGGTTTAAATAAGTGGCGAGTGGTCAGGTGAATGTGGGGGAAGAGGAAGAGTATCGTATCCCAATTCGTTCAATTTCTGTAGGGTCAGTTGCACGACGTGCGGCCGAGCATCGTCATGGAGAAGAAGAACTGGCCACTTTCTGTTGACCAATGCCGAGCACATGCGTTGCAATTTTTGATGCATTTCGTTGATTTGCTGACAGTACTTATCTGCCGTAATCGTTTCGCCCAGATTTATTCGATGCAGACTACCAAACAGTCACCATAATTTTCCTTTGATGCAAATTTGGCTTCGGAAAGTGTTGTGGTGTCTGACCGCGGTCCAACCACTGAGTCGAATGACGTCAGTAGTTAGAGAGAATCCAGTTATCAGAAATCGTTGTTATGCTTACGCCAAGTTTCTCCGCAAGCTTTCGAACAGTTGTGCACGGGTTTGTCTCAACTAAAGTCTTCAAATCATCGTCATCAACAGCTGAAGAGCGTGCACTACGCTTTCGCTTTTTATCTTCCAAGTCAAATTCTCCACCACGAAACTGTTGGTACCACCGTTGAACCGTAGATTCATTAACACTTTTCTCGCCCCATACTTTGTTGACATTTCGAGCCGTTTGTTTTGCGCTGTGGCCTAGCTTGTACTCATAAAAGTAAATTTGCCGAAAATCCTGTTTCGACATCTGAGCAAAAACACCTAGTAATTTTTTTAAATAATTTTGGAACAAAATGATTATTATAGAAATATAGAACGAAAATAGAGCTGCAAAATGATATATAAACCAATGTAATTCAAAGTATTTTTGTTGTTCAAAATGTACAGAAAAGGTAAACAATTGCAAAAACATGCATTATTTTCCGGACAACCTGATAGTAGCACTGTACTTGAAATATGATATCCAACCCACTTAAATCAAAAGCGCATTAACAAAAGCTTTTTAAAAAATTAAATAAGAAAATTAGTTTTAAAGAAAGAAACAAAAGTATACTCATAAAAAACGAATATTTCCCTCTTTTACTATTTTTCTTTCAACTGAATCGCAAATATTGTAATTTTTTATTTAAAATTTTTATAAATAGTTGTTTTACTTTATAATGTTCTTTAGTTACGAAGTTTTAGTTTAATTTGCGTTATTACGATATCTCAGTTCGCTAGAGAGTTTTACAGTCATGGTAACTGAATAGTACTTTTAAACATTATTGAAAAAAAATTATGCTTATTTCGCTATAAAAAATTTAGGATTTACCTCAAGTGTATCTTCCTTTGAAAATTCTCTTTTTCAAATTTGGTACTTGATGCTCTTTTAAATGCATCCAGCAATCCTTATTGAATTTTAAATATACCAGTTTCCTTCTCATATGTTAAGGAAATGTCGAATATTACTTAGAGGATTTCAAAGGCAGTTTTGTTATTCCCATCTCGTGGAATACCTTTTAAACATTATTGACGAAATTGAATGCATTTGAGGATAAAAAAGAAAATGAATAAGTAAAATAATGCTTTTTTAAAAACTGTATCCTTGCAAAACGATTTTATGAATCATTAACTTTTTTAAAATTACTAATAGATATTAGATGAGGGATTTCATTAAATGTTAGATGATGAAGTTGTTAAGAACGTTTTAAAAGTCTCCGTTCTTTACAACCAGTCAATTTTAGTGGCATTTCTTTGAGGCATGGAATTTATAAAACTAATAATGCAAATACAAAACTACTAAACCTCATTTTAAAGGCATGCAAGTGATCGTTTCGTGACGATAAGTGGCGTTCAAAACATCCTTTAGGCATTAAAACCCTACAAATGTTCGTTAAAATTATTTATTAAATGTATTATAACTCACCTATATATGATTTATTATAAATTATATCATTTAAGTATGTTACTTAAAAATAAAATGTAAATTGTTAAGAAATACATACATTGCGGTTAAATCGGTCCATTAGCCTGGCAGTGTTCAGCGATATTACATATTCGTCAGAATTTCAAAGCGTATTTCATATTGCAATATAAAAATGAGTACTTTACAAAACCGTAAAGAATTTTCAAAATTTTGTCATATAGCTAGAAATGTTTGATATTCGCTCCTTTTATTGCATGATTCACATCTAAAAACATTCGTGTGCAAAATTAAAAGAACTTGTATATTATGTCGAACTTAGGAAAACCAAATGGATAGATTAGAATGAAATTTGCTATGGATATATCACATTGATATTCTATGGATATCATACATCTATAACAGAGAAAAAGATTTGCCATTCAAAAGTCATTTTTGTACGTATGATCATCAGTAAAGCTCCTAGTGCAGGGATGTCCAAAGTCTCTTTTGTGATATCGAACAGAAAATGAGTCTAATATGGGGTATGGTCCCCTCTGACAGGCAACCAAGGCACGCAGCGTGACGGAGTACTGGACATGAGGCAAGAGCGCAGTCCCTGCGGCAGTCGAGTTCACTTGTGCAACAAAGCAGTTTTCAACGCCGGGATGGTTCTCAGAAGAGGATGACGAGATGAAACCGCCTTCCCAAACAGACTCTATAGGGTTAAGATTAGACTGGCCAATCCATGCGAAGAATACCCTCACTTTCCAGGTAATTCTCGACCAGCTGAGACTTAAGGTGAATGAGATTTGCCGGTCCATTCACAAGAACCCAGGTTCAACTTAGCCTCTAAAAAGTCCAACAAAGAGCTCTAAGTTCTGACTTCTGTGTCTCATAGCAGCCAGGAAGCCTTTGTCAAACCCATGCAGGGGTGTGCCGCCGTCCAACATAAAGTCTGCCCAAATCATTACACCTCCACTACCGTAATAATCTTTTTCCCCGATGAGGAGGGATGCTATTGTGGCCAGGCTCTCTTCAGATACTGGTACACTAAGAATCAATGCCCAGGCTGAATCTTGACTCTTCTGCAAAACACACGGTGCTCCACTGAAATTTGCTTCAAAGCGCATGTTGTCTGCACCATGTTAACACGCGCTTTCTTGTGTGCTGCGTGAGCGGGTCGAAGACAGTGGGTCTTCTGGTACATAGCTCTATCTCATGAAGACATTGGGCAGCTGTAAACCATGAAACTCGGTTTCCAGTGGTAGCGTACAGCTCACGTGAGAGCTGTGGAGTAGTAGCGGTGCCGTGTCGCAGCTCTGAAAGTGCCGAATAACGATCCTCATTAGTCATTGTGAATGTTGGTTGATCTTGCTCATATCTTCTCAGTATGGATCCAGTGTTCTGAAACTGTTTCCAGAAATTGCTGACGATACTGTGCTTTACATTGAGCTCTGTAGCAACCTGATTATCTTATGATTGGACTGCCTGCAATCGATTGACAATTCTTCATCTCATTCCGTCATCCATACATTATTGGCTACTCATTTCAGCTGATACC